CCCGTTGGCTCTGAGGGGCGTGGCCACGCCCCTGGCCACGCCCCCAGGCCTGGGGAGGCCACGCCCCTGTGCAGGGGCCTGGGAGAGCCAATCACGGGCCAGGCCCGGCCCCAGGGGAGGTCAGGCCACGCCCCCCGGGCCTGGGCGAGGCGGGCCGGGGAAGCCACGCCCCCTGGCCCCCAGGGTCAGCTGCTGCGCGCCAAACCAGGCTCCCTGCACCCCAAACGCGTGCCCAGGGCCCCTCCTGCACCCCCAAATGCATGGCTTTGCACCTCCTTTGCACCCCAAATTGTCATGCATGGCACCCCAAATTCACCCACAGATTTCATGCATTGCACTCCAAATACATCCCCAATTTGTCTGCATTGCACCCCCAAATCCACCCCAAATTCCCATCCATTGCACTCCAAATCCACCCCACATTTGCAAGCACTCCAAATCTACCCCACATTTGCAAGCATTGCACTCCAAGTACATCCCCAATTTGTCTGCATTGCACCCCAAATCCATCCTACATTTGCATGCATTGCACCCCAAATGCACCCCAAGATTGTATACATTGCACCCCAATTTGCATGCATTGCACTCCAAATCCACCCCACATTTGCACGCATTGCACCCCAATTGCCCCCTAAAATTGTATGCATTGCACCCCAATTCGCATGCATTGCACCCCAAATCCACCCCACATTTGCATCCATTGCACTCCAAATGCACCCCCAATTGTCATGCATTGCACCGCAAATACATCCCCAATTTGTCTGCATTGCACCCCAAATCCACCCCAAAATTGTATGCATTGCACCCCAAATCCACCCCACATTCCCATGCATTGCACCCCCATTGCACCCCAAAATTGTATGTATTGCACCCCAAATACATTCCCAATTTGTCTGCATTGCACCCTCCAAATGCACCCCAAATTCTCATCCATTGCACCCCAATTCCACCCCAAAATTGTATGTATTGCACCCCAAATACATTCCCAATTTGTCTGCATTGCACCCCCAAATGCACCCCACATTCTCATCCAATGCACCCTAATTCCACCCCAAAATTGTATGCATTGCACCCCAAAT